GAGGGGGGGAGAGAGAGAGAGAGAGAGAGAGAGAGAGTTTTGTTTTAAAGTGAATGTTTTAAAGGATTTGTTAATTATTCTTTTTAAAAATGAGGTTCAGTGGGATTGTACTTGTAACAAGTTATTGCAATATAAGAAAAGCATATCTTTTAGTCATTACACATAGAGTTACTAGTTCTTGTAATTCTGTGGATGGATTTTGCAGTATTTTATATATTTTTAGTCGTAGTATTAATTTGCTTCCTTTTTAAACAAAGCAATTTATTTCTTCCCTATCACTGAAGAAAAATAACTTGAAGTATTCTTACTTTAGAAACCAAAGGGGAAATTATTTGTGTGTACATTTTTATTCTCCAGTGATTTTATGTCTATCTTATCAAGAAGACTGTTTCTGTATCTAGGCAAGCTGGCAATAGTATGATTAATTTATTCCTAATTCTACCAGTACACCCACCATTGAAATGGTGGCAGGAGCTTGAAATCCTGACATAAAGCAGCTGAAAAGAAAGACATATTTAAGGAACCTTATCCACACACAGAGAACTCCAGGGATTCTTCTGTATTCATACAAAATAGTTTCCTCACTAAACCACAAGGAAAGCTGTGGAGCTTTTAGGATGGATAGTGAAGTTAACAGAATACTGTGACATAAGAGGTTATTACATGGTTGGCTTCTGTTTTGTCTTTGAATATAACTGATATGTCAGTCTTCTTTTTGATTTGAAACTCAATTGTTTAATAGGCTTTTATGTCACTAGTAGCAACTTGCAACATATAATTTACCTCAGGGTTTAAGAGATTCACTGCAGGATCTTAGCAGCATGTTCAGAATTTTATCATTTAGAATTTAAGGAAAACCTTTGTAAGCAGCAACAGACACCCTGCACCTAATTTTCCTGCATGTTCTTCAACAAATAGGAAATATTATATTAATAATGACTTTCCAACATTTGCAATTTTTCAGTACAGAATCCCTACAGAGACTACTAGCCGTGCTTGTAGTGAAGTGTATAACATGTCAGAGAGGAAAGGCAGAAATAGATGTACCGTGATTGTTTTCAACAGCAGTCTCACCTTGGCCATAGTATCTTATTGCCTCTTAGACATTACTCTTGCCATTGTTCATTGCCTTCCTATAATTGTAATTTTGGCTTTAAAAAAACAAAACCCAAGTCTATACGGAATGAAAAATCTGGGTACATTTTCAGCATTAAAATGTATAAAGACCTTCCAAACTGCAAAGAATAGGAAAATATGAGAAAAACCTATATATTGCATAATGCATCCTGTGACAATAGTCATAAGCCAATGTGGAAGACTTGTGTGAGTGATTGGCATAAATGTTTGCCTTACATTTAACAAACACATTAGTAATTTGTCTTCAACCACAATATTTTGTCACTTTCTTGTCTACTAACTACTCACTATTCTTTAATCATACATTCCCTATATCAGTTTTACAGTTTCATTGCATTTATTTTATTGATTCCTGCCCCTTTACATAACAAGCTTTAAAAAAATCCAGGTGGGTTTTTTGGCATCAAATGAATTCCAAGCATTTGACTTAAAAAACTTGGCATAATTAAAGTTTCATGTCTTTCTTTGGTACCTTTGTAATTAATATGGACAGTTTGCATCATGCTGTAGAGAACTGAAAAATAAAGCTATTTCTATTTGTAATGGAACATAAAAATATTCCTCTTATATGCTCATATATTTTAAAAACTTACAAAACCAAGAGGAAATGTTTTATATAACTTCTGCCCTGTTTTGTGATTCTTTACAATGGAAAAATAAAGTTTTATTACCTCTTCTTTGTGGTATTACATGGTACTGCAAATTGCACTTTCTATTAGTTATAATTAGATATAATTAAACTGCATGCTTTTTGCCTGCAGGTGAGTGAGATGGAAGTAAATGGCCAGTTTGAATCAGTCTGTGAGTCTGTATTCAGCGAACTAGAGTCTCAGGCAGTAGAGGCCCTGGATCTGCCAATGCCTGGGTGTTTCCGCATGAGGAGCCACAGTTATGTGAGAGCAATTGAAAAGGGCTGTTCCCAAGATGATGAATGTCTGTCTTTGAGATCCTCATCTCCACCTCGCACAACCACCACTGTGAGGACCATCCAAAGCAGCACTGGTAAGTCATCATTGGATTGCTCTCCACTCATACTTTTCAGTGTTAAATGTAATCACCTAAATGGCCTTTTCAATTCTAGATCCTGTGAATTCTATGATCCTTCATTGCCTGCATAGCCACTTGTTTCATTCTCCTTAGATGTCCCTTAAAACTGGTATTGTCTCTCTGTCCTTTGTTGACTGCTGCTGCTAATTGTGCATAGTCAGAACACCCTGTAGTTGCTTATGTTCAGATTAGTCCTATATTAGTAATATAGGTAGTCAGCGAGTTATGATGGCAATTAGGACCAGGATTGCCATCACGAATGGATGAGGTCATGAAGTGTGATGTCATATGACCACATTGCTTAATGACGACAATCCCAGTTCTGTCATAACCCCAGGACCATGCAGGTTGTTAAGTAGTAAGAGGTGAGAGTCCCAGGCAAGAAGTGAGGGGTGGGGGGATGCCACAGGGGTTGGGGGGTGCCTCAGGTGGGCACTGGGGAGCACGGGCAGGCCAGCAAGGGCTGCAGACAGGTGCTGGGGAGCACAGGTGGGCCAGTGAGTGTCACGGGGGGCAGGTGCTATGGGCAGGTATGTGCTACAGACACGGGTGGGCAGGGAGTGCTGTGGGTGGGTATGCCCTATGGAATGCAGGCAGGCAAATGGATGCTACAGAGTATGAGATCCCTGGGATGTTCTACTCCATAGTGGGGCTACTTGGGAGAAAAAGAGGCAGGAGCAACTTATGAGAGCAACTTGTGACCTTCCCTGCCAGCTTCCCCACTGACTTTGCTAGCGAGAAGCTGGCAGGGAAGGTCACAAATGGTGATCACCTAACCATGGCTTACTGAGACATCATAATCGCAAACTGGGTGCCTGAGCTCCCAGAGCATGATCACTTGACCATGGGATGCTGTAACAGCTACAACTTTGTGAACTGGTCATAAATTCCCCTTGTTCAGCACTGTCGTAATTTTGAACAGTTGCTGAACACATAAAGACAGCTTTTGTAATGGTAAACATGGTAATGACAATATCACAACAGCATTTTCTTTGCACTTATAATTTTAAATTGAACGGTTTGTTCCTATACAAGATGCAGGTAGTCTACTTTTGTGTTTCTGTATTAGTAAGACCACATTTCCAACATTTCTCTTTGAACTTGAACTTAATATGCATGTCTCAGTTGCCCACCTCTGAAATAAATTAATCCTATAAAGATAATATCACCATGACTGAGAAAGAAATAAAGAGCCTAAACTTTCCCAAATAATATATGGCCTTGGTAGAGATTTGCTTATTTCCTTATTAAACTGTATCCCATCATATGGTCTAAGACTTAGCTTTTA